GCTTTGCGAGAGCCGAACCACGAATCGATCTTGAGCTGACGCTTCCCGGTGACCTCGTCTTTAATCAGCTGAAAATCGAGGTTGAGATGCTTGAAATCGCGAGTGAGTTTCCCGCGTGGGCCTTCGACTTCGATCACCTTGGCGTGAACCTTGATGGCGACGCCGTCGGGGATGTCCATCGTCTCAGATGACAAGATAGTCTTCATCTTTCGTCTCGGAGAGAAAGTGACGGCGACGGCTAAGGGGTTTTTTTTGGTGTGAAGCTTACACTTAGGGTACAAGAAAAAACCCTAGATACGCTTATAAATAAGTCACCTGTTTATAGGTTTTTTTTTGGGTTTCGCTGGTAATACAAAATGGCCTTAGGATCATCAAGTAAAGCCCATCATACGAATGTCCATAAAAGGCCCATCATTATTAGGAATTTCATTTTAGTATTGTATGTTATGAGTTATGACATTACAAATGGATTTAGGTGAGGGTATTGGATGCTTGAATTTAATAGAATGCAAATAAATTTTAAATTAATTAATTTTAGAGTAATTTAAAATTTTTGTTAGGATTTTAATGAATTCTATCCAAATAACAGCAAAAATGCTGGGAATTGGTTCTTTGTATTTTTTTTAGTGAAATTCTTACCAAATGACAATATCATAAATGCTGTAACAAAATTGAATAACACAAATATTTAATAAAATTAAGAAATCAATAAATTGAATGACACTAGTTAAATTAATTTAATTAGAAGAATGATTACGAATATCTAATCCAATAACACATGAATTTAAAAGAATTCATGAATTACACCATTGAATAACAGTATAATTCTATAGAAATCTAATTCATTTCAATCCCCCTTAATTTTGTTTTGTCGCCACATTACAAATATACAGTAAAAAAATCTATAGATTAATAACATTAGGACTCTTATATTAGTTTTTAATTTATAAAGAGAATAACTGGATCAAAACATAAATTTTGGACAAAACAAATTATTAATTTATCAAATTTATTAATTTATTGAATATTAATTTTTATAGTTTCTACTGTATTTAATTGAACTTATGTTTGTGAAAAGCTATTTGACTCGGCTGTAAATGATTTAAAAGCTTTTACATTATATATGAGATTGGATTTTCAGAGAATGTAATTAAAAATTAATAGATGCAAAATTACTTGGATGTTATATTGAGTACTGCATGTAAAGTTGTGTAATGGAAGAGAGCTGCGTTGTAGAGTCATTTTTCGTCATAATCGTATGTATTGTATGTATAGGAATTTGATTGACTAATCATCATCTTATTATTATTATTATTATTATTATTATTATTATTATTATTATTATTATTATTATTATTATTATTATTATTATTATTATTATTATTATTATTATTATATATGAAGAAGAATTTTTAAAAGTGAATGCAACACGTAAACAAAATTATAATTCATTAAATTGCATCATGTTTCACATTTAATTTTGATCATGATATTTTTAATAGAATAGTATAAATTTCTAATTTTAGTTATTTATTTCAAAAATAAAAAAAATAAATTTATGTTTTTTAAATAAATTATTAAAATAAAAAATATAAATTACGAAATAGAAAAAAAATATAAACTATAAAATTTATAATTCATAATATTTTTAAGTTATAAAGATTGTTTATCAAGTTTGTAATCAATTTTGAATTTCCTAATGATAAATTAAAATATATTTTATAGATAAATTAATGAGATCATAATTTAGAATCTAACTAGACAGATTATAATCAGGTTATCAATTTTAAAATATAAATATTTTCATAATTTTCTGGTGAGGCCTAATCTAATAGGAATATAAAAAAATTACACTTAGATCCAGATAAAAATTCTTTTTCTATAGAACAGTGGTGAATGATGCGCTCCGTTCTCGATTATCATATTGTGAACCGCTTCATCGATTTATATGTGGTTATTATTCAAAATAGATTGAAAAATGATTATTGATAAGAGTATTACAAAACTTGAAAGGGAAAAGAAAGTATTTTACTCTGTCCTAAAATATAAAATGTTTATAAAAAAGTTTTGTTTTATTTTATAAGATGTTTTACAAATTTCTATGTTATTTTATTTGTTAACTCTTTAAATTCTAATGTATTTTTTATGATTGACTAAATTATATTTTTAACTAATAATTAATGATGTTTTGTTTTAAAAATTTAGTTTCTTGATCTCTGCACTTTTATCTAGAACATCTTATATTTTAGGACAGAGTGAGTATTAAACTTTGTGCACCTTAACCAGGTTAAGTCACAACGTGTTCTCAAACCCTAGCTGCAAGTCTTCTAGAAGCTCTCATGCTCTCTTGTTATGAATATCAAATCCACTTGAGATTCTGAAAATTTAAAAAATTCAACATAAGGAAGTTTCAAAATAAATTTGGTCGAATGTTGCAAATGTTATGTTTTCAATTTTTTTTTGGTCGACCGCTTTAAATGTTATGTTCTCGTTTTCCAAGAAGACCTAACAGCCTCCGTAATTTGCTAAACATTCATCATATTCCAATATAACTGGTGCCATGAAATGAAAAATATGTTTTCGTTACTGATGTAACTGCTCGATTTAGCCAACTTTTTCATTATATCAACAAACTTGGATAAAAAGAATCCAGTGTGCAAAATTTGGACTAAACTAACTACCCAATGTATAAAAGATGTATAAGTAGATTCTATTTCTTGAGCATTGTTATGAGAAAGTATAAAAATGATGCAAACATTGAATGTATCACTGGTGTTTATTTCCTTCCTCTATTTTCACGCATTCGTGAACTAACAAATACTAGAGAACACCAAACTAGTCTTTACTAGATCGAAACATCAAAACATCATATCTTTTATTTTCAACATGAATACATAATAAACAGATTTTTTTTTCTAATAAAGTTACATTCAAAGCTGCAGAAGAACAGTGTTTATTTCCAAACATTTGTTTGAAATTTAAAGTGGTAATCTGTATTGAAAGACACATTGTGAACCCCCAAATCGTAATCTTTGGATTTGCAATGAACTAAGAGGTGGACTGCCAAAACAATTTGTCATCTTGATGATAGTATAAGGCCAAAATGGTGGAAGTGAACTATGACTTGAATCAAATGAAAGAAGAATTAAAGATGATCAGAAAAGCAATGTAGTATGGAGTTTTAGTGGATTTTTCATTGAAGTTTTCATGTTATGTTTAAAGTGATAAGATTGCTATTGAAGTTGAATTTTATAGAAATCGAGAATGGCTCGACATTTTTCTGTTTATAGATATTATTCATATGAATATATATATACAGAGTCGGCCCTGAGTTTTAAGTGACCGCAAGCTAAAGAAAAAAATAGGTCGTTTTATAAAAAAACATGGATTTAAACTGATTTACTAAAATAAAATACAGAATTGAGATTCAAATTCAAAAAGTCTCAACTACTAAGCAAGACCAACCTATAGAGATCGTTTTTTTATACTTAGTGCCAGAAGAACACAGGAGAAAACTCTCTCTGGCCCATTCTCCGATGTAGCTACCACGAGAGTTCAGATCTTCTTTTTCCAAGATTTGAATTTTAAATCTCTTCTTCTTACTCTTTTCGATATGGTTTTTTCAAACCTTCTTTGTTTCAACTTCCATTTCCACCAATCTTCTATCCTTCTAATCGCACTCATATCCCAGAAACTTAAAGTCCATCGCCTGTTTGTCTAAAGTCTATCACTTCTGCATCTCATCCCTGCATCTCTGTGAACCTAAAATCCATCTCCATAAATGGCATGCTTAACCTCCAATCCAAATCCTCTTTGAGGTGAGGGTTAGGTTGGTGGTGTGCATTTACTGGTTTTTCTCTCTTTGTTTAGATCCTAGCTTCTAACAGAGTCGGTGGTTTTGGTCTCCCGCTTCCCTCGTGGAAAGCTTCTCGGCGGCGCCAGTTCTTTTATCTAGCCTCGGGCTAAGAATTTCTTTTTCTCCAGATGTGTAAATCTCCTGACAATCTATCCTCATTTAGTTCTCTTGGATAAATCATGTTAATATCCAAAGAACAGCATCACCTTTCAACAAGAGTAAAGAAGAAGACGATGACTTGCTTTTTTAACAAGGTGGATTACTCTGAACTGATTGCACAACTTAAGCTCAGTTTGGTTAAAAAATTTTAATCGGGAAGAAAGAAGCGTTGAAGCTCGGCCTTCGTTGATGTGGCGTCAGAGACGACTTCATCAGAGGCCAAAATTTTTTTGTTTTTTTGACCTAATTTGTGTATGGTTTCTCAGCCAGTAAATTAATGGGCTCAATTTCAATTCTGGGCTAAGCCCAAGGTTTAGTGTAATCTGCTGGGTTTTAAACACATACAAGCTAAATCGCACATATAAATAATTTCCAGTTTTGGGCTAGGCCCAATTGCGAAAAAAAAGAAGAAGAAAATAAATCTTTAAAGGCCCAAAATCCAAAAAGGTCCATCTTCATCTAGTCTTGGAGGAGCCCAAATACCAGTCTTTGATCTGAAATGAACGTGATTGGATGGAACTGTCAGGGTGCGGGAGCCGATCTAACAAAGGATCATCTAGAAGAACTTTATCACTGTTTTCAACCTCGGTTCCTATTTTTATCAGAAACAAAGAACAATTGCTATTTTATGCAAGATATGCAAGTGCATTTTGGCTATGACCATGTTTAGACCGTTGAACCGAGAGGTCGAAGCGGCGGTCTAGCCCTCTTTTATATGGATGAACCCTCGGTTTCTATTTCTTATTCGGATGAGCATTTGATTGATATTGAAACTACTCTAGACGGACATAAAATTTTTATGACTTTCGTCTATGGTGATCCGATTGTAAAAAATCGAGAACTAGTTTGGGAACGCCTCACCCGGATGAGCCTGTCCAGAAAAGAAGCATGGTTTATGATTGGGGACTTCAATGAAATTACAGGAAACCACGAAAAGCGGGGTGGTAGGAGAAGACCTGAGAGCTCCTTTATTTCATTCCGGAATATGCTAAATGATTGTGGAATGCTTGATTTTCCTTATAAAGGAAACTCTTTCTCCTGGGTTGGAAGAAGACGGTCGGGCAAAGTCAAATGCCGCCTTGACAGAGCTCTCGGAAATGAAGAATGGATGTCTAAATTTTCCCACTCCTCTGTGGAGTACATGAAACTGTGGGGATCAGACCATCGTCTAGTCCTCGCTATGATCAAAATTAACAACATAAGGAGGAAAAAATCTTTTCGATTTGATAAAAAATGGATCGGAAAACCAGGATTCAAAGAGACAGTCGTTTCTGGGTGGGGCCCATTTGATGAATTCTCACGTAGAGATTTTCATCAAAAGGTTACCCAATGCCGGAAAAACATCTCCATTTGGAAGAAATCCAACCCGTCTAACTCAGAAAGAATGATAGAAGAATTGAAAAATCAACTGGACTTAGCTCAAGATGATGAAAACACAACGCTTGAAGAAATTGAAGAAATTAGGAGGAAGCTCTGTGTAGCCCTTAGGGAAGAAGAAATGTTTTGGCAACAGAAAAGCCGAGAAAAATGGCATAAAGACGGCGATAAAAATACCAAATTCTTCCACGCACTCACTAAACAGAGGCGAGCCCGAAACCGTATTGTAGCTCTAAAAGACAGCAATGGACATCTGGTAGAAAATGCAAGGGGAATCGAACGGGTGGCATTGCAGTATTTTCAGAAACTTTTTTCCTCGTCTATACCCTCTGATCTAGAAGATTCACTCCGGTTTATCACCGAGAAAGTCTCAGATAATGATAATGAATTTCTTCTGAAGGATCCGTCAGAAAATGAAATAAAAGATGCTCTCTTCGATATTAACCCGGACAAAGCCCCAGGACCTGATGGTATGACAAGTAAATTCTATCAAAAATTCTGGCGTTTCCTCCGCCAAGACATAGTAAAATTGGTAAAAGAATTCTTCAGATCTGGAGTTTTTGATCCTAAACTTAATCAGACCAATATTTGTCTTATCCCAAAAACCAACAAACCTAGATCGATGACGGAGTTCCGTCCAATTAGCTTATGTAATGTGAGTTATAAGATTATCTCCAAGCTTTTGTGCAAACGGCTCAAAAAGACCTTACCAAACCTTATTTCGGAAACACAATCGGCCTTCATGGCTAGACGACTCATCACTGACAACATTCTGTTAGCACAAGAAAATTTTCATGCTCTTCGTACCAACACAAATTGCAGAGAAAATTTTATGTAAAGCATACGATCGGGTTGAATGAGGATTCATTGAAGCTCTCCTCACCAAAATGGGATACTCGTCGAGATGGGTCAGTCTACTGATGTTCTGCATCTCATCGGTCTTTTATCAGGTCCTGATTAATGGAGAACCCAAAGGAAATATCAAACCGTCGAGAGGCTTGAGACAAGGAGACCCTCTATCCCCTTTCCTCTTCATCCTGTGTACTGAAGGACTAATATCTCTCCTCAAGGGAGCTGAGGAAGAAGATCGCATTTCTGGGCTAAAAATAGCTCAAGCAAGTCCTCCAGTTTCCCATCTCTTCTTCGCTGATGATAGTCTGTTTTTCTGTAAAGCGGATATCCATCAGGGAGCGGAAATATTCAAAATTATTGATACTTATGGAAAAGCGTCAGGACAACAACTTAATCTAGGCAAATCATCCATCATGTTTGGTAATAGAGTGGATCCAAATCTTAAACGAAGTATCAAAAATTCCATCGGCATCACTTCGGTAGGTGGAATGGGTATGTATCTGGGCCTTCCAGAACAAATCTGTGGATCAAAGAAGAAGGTCTTCTCCTTTGTACATGACCGACTTAGTAATCGGGTAAATAATTGGTCTGCAAGACTTCTATCCAAAGGTGGGAAAGACATTCAGATAAAATCGGTGGCTCAAGCAGTCCCTACTTACGTCATGTCTTGCTTTCTTTTGCCTAAAGGGGTTACTGACAAACTCCGGAGTGCCATCGCCAATTTTTGGTGGAGCTCGAAACAAAATAGCAGTGGGATCCACTGGATCGCTTGGGACAAAATTTGTATTCCTCAGGATATGGGAGGTCTGGGATTTAGGGATTTAAATGATTTTAACCTAGCTTTGCTTGCTAAGCAGCTATGGAGACTCATCCAATACCCTTCTTCTCTTCTGGCCCGAGTGCTAAGAGGAAGATATTACCGACAATCAGATCCTTTAGAAGATCGAAATGTCTATTCACCATCTTATGGATGGAGGAGTATGTTGGCCGCCAAACCGTATCTCAAAATGGGACTTAGGAAGACAATCGGGTCGGGACTCAACACCAGAGCCTGGAGTGAGCCTTGGATCCCCGATGCCAGGGCCCGATCTCCAAGAGCAGCCCCTCAGATCGGCTTTCAGGATCCAGGAATGTTAGTCTAACATCTTATCTGGCAAGATACGAAGAAATGGGATGTGCCTCTCCTAAGAGTTTTTTTCCAACCTGAGGATGTCTCTCTTATCCTTGGGTTGAGACCTAGCAGGAACCACACTTTAGACGGATATGCGTGGAACCATACTAAATCGGGGATATATTCGGTTAAATCGGGCTATGATTTGATTAGAAGAACGATGCTTGCACAAAATTCAGATGTCGTGAGAGAACCGAGCATCACAACTCTTCAAAGCTACGTTTGGAAAATACGAACGCCTCGAAAGATGAAGCATTTTATGTGGCAAACTTTATCACGATGTATTGCTACTTGCCAAAACCTGACTTATAGGCATATGGGAACGGATAAGCACTGCCCCCGTTGTGGAAATCCTGAAGAATCTATTAACCATCTTCTTTTTTATGTCCCCCGGCTTTACAAGTCTGGGCGTTATCGGACTTTCCGTCCCTTCCGGGCCTCTTCCCGAGTACTTCTATTTACCAAAATATGAGCTTCCTCTTTTGGAAAACAAAAGAGGTAGGCATGACAGATCCACAAAAGGATATTTATCTTTGGATCCTGTGGTATATTTGGAAAGCGAGGAACGAAAAGATCTTCAACGGGAAAGAAATTTCCCCAGTAGATACTTTGATCCACGCCAAGATTGAATCAGAAAGCTGGAAGCTTGCAAACGACCCAGAAGAAGACGAAGACGCAACAGACGAGACTACCCCCACTCCTTGGCTCCCGATTACTCTACCTGATGTCCAGAGGTTCCCGATTTGTCAGGTTGATGCATCCTGGACAGGCAGCGGCCTGTTTACTGGGCTAGGGTGGAGCTTAAAGGAGGATAGGAGTGGTGAGATTTTTGGCCTTCAGGGCTGTCGTAGAAGCCTCTCGGCCCTTCATGCCGAGTTGGAGAGCCTCTTATGGGCTATGTCTTGCATAAAAGATCGACTGATCTTATCCGTCCACTTTTAAACCGATTGCTTGGATTTGGTAAGCATGTCAGAATCTCCATCGGATTGGCCATCTTTCTTATCAGAGTTGGAAGTCTTCCGCAATCTCCGAGAAAGTTTCTTAAACTTCACACTCTCTCATATTCCCAGAAGTTCAAATGTCCGAGCGGATAGTCTTGCAAAGAGAGCTCGAGCAAAAGGCATTTTCTTTTTTCTTTTCCCAAATCATTCATAACGAGCCAGTTGTAGGAGGTTTTTCTGAACCACCTTTTAACGGGCCAATAGTGATGTAATAGTTGGGTAGTTGAAAAAAAAAAAAAAAGCAAAACCAACCTTACAACATACCATTAGACTACAAAAACTTTTAATAACTTTAAGGCCGAAAATTTTATATAAAAAAATAGGATCGTAAGCCTATGCTTAGACTACTTGCCTTCAAGACCGGTTATATATATATATATATATATATATATATATATATAATTCCCCCGTAATTCCCCCATAATTCTCCAATATATATATATATATATATATAACACCTTTGATGCTCCCATTGGAACAATTACCAAACGAATACCCGAATAAGTAAAGAAACATTTATTGACCTTAGACCCAATTCTTAACGGACTCGATTTGGCTCTCTACTCTATACATAGTCTATGGATCCAAACCATCAAAATATATTTATGTTACTCGTTTCTTGGTTACCATCTATCAAAATATATACATAGTCTATGGATCCAAACCATCAAAATATAAGCATAGATATTCTTTCAAGTTCAATCAAATAGATATTCTTTCAAGTTCAATCAACTTCCAACAACAGGCAAATAAGGAAAATAGAGAAGAGTAAAGAGAATTTATCTTCCGAAACTTCAGCAAGTGGATAAAAAACCGAACATAAAGGATAATGAGTTTGCATCATCGATACTGGTCCAAAGGAAACAAAACTGCAAATCCATAAGAGATGTAAACAAAAAGCTACGACTATATCACTGTAACACAATATGAATATAACATAGCATTTCAGTAGCTTCATTCTTCAACAGCAATCTTGCCCTTCTCGCTCACATAGATACCATCGAGAAACTTCCTAATATCCTTCTTCTTCACATGGCATTTCTGCTCAAGATCAAACAGACAACAGACATCAAAAAGAGAGTATTAATAAAGGAAAAATCTGCAGCTTCAAGCAAAACATAATCAATCGAATCACAAACAAAATTCAGATCCAATACACTGCATTTTTCTTAGTTTCTGCAAGACTCTAGGGAGACACATATGATACATTAACCATGTTTTCTTTCTCAAGATCAGGATCAAACAATCATCAATAAGAGAGTTATAAAGAATGGCAAAGTCTGCACTTTACTAGGCAAATCACAATCAAACTCATCACAAACAAGATTCAGACCATAATGTTGCACTTTTTTATAGTTTCGGCAACATTCTATAGAAACCCATCTGTTAAATTTACCATTCTTTATTTCACAAGATCATGATCAAACAATCATATATAATAGAGTTATTAACAAAGGTAAAGCCTGCATCTTTAAAACGCAAGTCATTATCAAACCCATCACAAACAAGAGTCAGACCATTATGGTGAAATTCTCTAAGTTTCTACAACAAGTTACGGAAACCCATTTGGTACATTTTCCATTCTATACATTCTCAATTCAAGATTCCATAACTTTCAAGTTTCAAAAAACAGGACAAGCAATAAGAAAACAAAAGAGCAGAGAGTACCTGGTTGATCAAAGCGCATGACCGTGAGACAAGCTCGATATCATTTCCCTCGAGAGTAATCTCATCCTTAACCTTCTCAGATCGAACAATCTTAACACCATCCAACATTTCAACCTTCCTGACCTGTTCATACCATTTCAACACATCAATAAGCAAATCATCGACAACAACATTTCTACCTTAAAATGACAAAGAATCTCAAATCAACCAAAACAAAACAAACGAACCTTCTTCTCGCCAAGGAAGTTACGGATCTCGATGGCTTTGTTGTCACCGGAGATCGAAGCATTGATGGGGAAATGAGCATACACAAACCTCATTTTGTAAAGGAAACCTTGAGTGACACCAGCGATGAGATTGTTGACGTGGCTTAACGCAGTTCGGATCGAAGCACTGGCTTTGCGAGAGCCGAACCACGAATCGATCTTGAGCTGACGCTTCCCGGTGACCTCGTCTTTAATCAGCTGAAAATCGAGGTTGAGATGCTTGAAATCGCGAGTGAGTTTCCCGCGTGGGCCTTCGACTTCGATCACCTTGGCGTGAACCTTGATGGCGACGCCGTCGGGGATGTCCATCGTCTCAGATGACAAGATAGTCTTCATCTTTCGTCTCGGAGAGAAAGTGACGGCGACGGCTAAGGGGTTTTTTTTGGTGTGAAGCTTACACTTAGGGTACAAGAAAAAACCCTAGATACGCTTATAAATAAGTCACCTGTTTATAGGTTTTTTTTTGGGTTTCGCTGGTAATACAAAATGGCCTTAGGATCATCAAGTAAAGCCCATCATACGAATGTCCATAAAAGGCCCATCATTATTAGGAATTTCATTTTAGTATTGTATGTTATGAGTTATGACATTACAAATGGATTTAGGTGAGGGTATTGGATGCTGGAATTTAATAGAATGCAAATAAATTTTAAATTAATTAATTTTAGAGTAATTTAAAATTTTTGTTAGGATTTTAATGAATTCTATCCAAATAACAGCAAAAATGCTGGGAATTGGTTCTTTGTATTTTTTTTAGTGAAATTCTATTAAATTCTTACCAAATGACAATATCATAAATGCTGTAACAAAACTGAATAACACAAATATTTAATAAAATTAAGAAACTGTTGTGAAAACTTAGAAACTTTATTAATCACTGGAATGTATATATAGAGTACATAGGGAATCTAGATTAAGTACAATGCCCTGATGGGCTAATGGGCCGGTATAAGAGTCCATATATGATATGTGTTATAACACTCCCCCTTGGACGAGTGAACCGGGTCAGCTACTCAATCGGGATCTCGATAATGCGCTGGGGAATGTTGCCTCATTAAAACCTTACCAGGAAAAACCCAGTGGGACAAAACCATGGTGAAGGAAAAAGAGTACAACACGCATTACTCCCCCTGATTGTAGCATCACTGCAGATCTCTAAGTCTATACATTCCTATCTGTTTGACGAGCTTCCGGTGTGTTGAAGTAGGCAATGATTTGGTGAAGAGGTCAGCTGAATTCTCACTGGATCGGACCTGCTGAACGCTGAGAGTGCCGTCCTTCTGCCAGTCTGAGGTTGAGAAGAACTTCGGTAAAATGTGCTTCGTCCGATCTCCTTTGATATATCCTTCCTTGAGCTGAGCTATGCATGCCGCGTTGTCTTCATACATCACCGTGGGCTGTGTGTCTTCGTCCATACCACAATCTCTGCGGATGTGCTGAGTCATGGAGCGCAGCCAGACGCATTCCCTACTAGCCTCATGAATGGCTAGGATTTCAGCATGGTTTGATGAAGTGGCAGTGAGTGTCTGCTTCATTGATCTCCAAGAGATGGCTGTTCCTCCATGCGTAAAAACGTAGCCAGTTTGAGACTTGGCAGTGTGCGGATCTGATAGATATCCTGCATCCCCATCTTTATTTTGGTTAGTATAGAAGAGTCCTAAGTCTTGAGTACCTCGAAGGTATCTTAGGAGATGTTTTATACCGTTCCAGTGCCTCTGAGTTGGAGATGAACTATATCGAGCGAGGAAGTTCACGGCGAAACATATGTCTGGTCTAGTGTGACTAGCCAGGTACATTAACGCTCCTACAGCACTGAGGTATGGCTTTTCAGGACCAAGGATTTCTTCATCATCCTTTTTGGGACCAAGAGGGTCATCACTTAAGCTTCTAACTACCATTGGGCTGGTCAATGGGTGAGCTTGGTCCATATTAAATCGCTTGAGTACCTTTTCGATATAAGCCGATTGATGCACAAGGATTCCTCCTTTGATGTACTCAAGTTGTAATCCCAAACAGTACTTTGTTTTGCCTAGGTCTTTCATTTCGAATTCTGCTTTTAAGCAGTCGACTGTTTGGGAGATCTCACCAGATGTTCCGAGGATGTTTAGATCATCCACGTATACTGCTATGATTACAAATCCTTTGTTTGAGTACTTCTTGATGAAGATGCATGGACTGATGGGGTCATTTTTGTAGCCTTCTTTGATGAGGTAATCGCTGAGGCGGTTGTACCACATACGCCCACTTTGTTTCAGTCCATACAAGGATTTGTTCAGCCTGATGCAGTATTGATCTCGAGATGCATTTTTGTCTTTTAGTTCAATGCCATCTGGGAGTCTCATATATATTTCGTTGTCCAGGGGCCCATAGAGATATGCGGTTACAACATCCATTAACCGCAGATCTAGATTTTCTCTTATGGCCAGACATATGAGGAATCGGAATGTTGTTGCATCCACCACTGGAGAATAAGTCTCCTCATAATCGATTCCGGGTCTCTGTGAGAATCCTTGTGCTACAAGCCGTGCTTTGTATCGAACGACTTCACCGAGTTCGTTCCTTTTGCGCACAAAGACCCATTTGTGGCCCACTGGCTTGATGTGTGATGGGGTCCGGATGATCGGACCGAACACGTTTCTGAGTTTGAGACTCTTTAACTCCACGTTTATGGCTTCTTTCCATTTTAGCCAATCTGTTCGATGTGTACACTGTGTTATTGACGTGGGTTCTAGATCCTCTTGCGTGAGCGCAACATCAAGTGCTACTTTGTATGCAAAGAGTGCATTTAAGTCGACTTCTTTTCGATTCCATTGTATTCCGGACATATTGTAATTGATGGAGATCTCATTGTTATCTTCTGAACCTGGAGATTCGGCGTCCCGAACTTCCATTGAGGGTTCATTAGATTGAGTCTCAGCCGCGGCTATGTCTGATATTGCAGGAATCCCGGTTTTGGTTATTGTACCTTTCTTTGATTTCCGGGGATTCTTATCTTTGGAACCGAGAGGTCTGCCCGGTTTGAGACGTGGTGCAGACTCTGTAGCAACTTGAGTCTGTCCCGTTGGGACAGCTATTCGTACTGGTGCATTACAAGCTGGGATGTATGATTTGGTTACTTTGGTCGGGTCAGCAAAGGAATCTGGCAATTGATTAGCTAGCTTTTGATAATGAATAATCTTTTGGATCTCTGAATCACATTCTAGAGTCCGAGGATCTTGCCAATTTAATGATGTTTGATTCCATGAAAGATCTTTGACCAGCTTGTTTGTCTCACCACCTAAAGAGGGATATACCGATTCATCGAATTGGCAATCCGCATATCTGGCCTTGAAGAGATCTCCAGTGGTTGGCTCGAGATATCTTATGATGGTGGGAGAGTCAAAACCAACATATATTCCCATCCTTCTTTGAGGTCCCATTTTGGTTCGATGTGGTGGAGCAATGGGTACATATACTGAACACCCAAATGTTTTGAGATGGGAGATGTCTGGCTCATGACCCGAGAGTAGTTGGGATGGGGAATATTTGTGTTCACTAGATGGCCGGATGCGTATGAGTTCAGCAGCATGTAATACTGCATGTCCCCATGCTGAGGCCGGGAGCTTTGATCTCATGAGTAATGGTCGGGCTATCCATTGAATGCGTTTAATGAATGATTCAGCCAATCCATTTTGAGTATGGACATGTGCTACAGGATGTTCCACGGTTATCCCCATGGCCATACAGTAGTCATTAAACGCTTGTGAGGTAAATTCACCAGCATTGTCAAGGCGGATAATCTTTAGTGGGAAGTCAGGGAAATGGGCCCGCAATTTTATGATTTGGGCCAAGAACCTAGCGAAGGCTTGGTTCCGAGAGGACAAGAGACAAACATATGACCAACGGGTCGATGCGTCTATAAGGACCATGAAGTACCGGAATGGTCCGGAAGATGGATGTATAGGTCCACAGATATCGCCCTGGATTCTTTCTAGGAAATGAAGTGTTTGTTTAGAGATTTTAACTGGTGAAGGCCGAGTGATCAATTTGCCTTGAGAACAAGCTGTGCACATGAGGTGTTGAGGATAAGCTCGGTTTTCTTTGAGGGTATGCCCTTGAGAGTTTTGAATTAGTTTACGCATCATATTTGCACCGGGATGACCGAGCCGGTCGTGCCAAATAGTATAATCAGTAAACCGGGCTTTGAGAGTGGTATTAGCTTCAATCATACTGACTTTAGCATGGTAAAGTCCAGTAGAGAGCGCGGGTATGGTTTCGAGGATTTGTTTATGGCCGTCTACGGTTTTAGTGACTAAGAGAGATTCTTTGTTCCCTTGACCTTGGGTTTCTATGTGGAAACCATTCTGTCTTATATCCTTGAAGCTCAAAAGATTTCTCTTCGAACTAGGAGAATATAGAGCATCTGGTATTTCAAGTTGTGTGCCATTTGATAGCAACACATAGGCATGGCCATATCCTTCGATAAGGTTTGAGGGACCCGCGATGGTGCTAATATTTGCGGTTTGATAGGTTAGGTTTATGAAGTAACTTTTGTTTCTTAAGATAGTGTGGCTGGATCCACTATCTACGACTATGGTTTCCATTTGCTGGTGTGCTTCATTATGAATAGAAGATAGAATTCAGTATTGAGGAATTCAGAAAATGTGATAAATCATAAAGTAAAGCAGTGTCTGAGAATAAAGGCAAATGGAAAAAAAATGAAACAAATCCCAAAATGAAAAAAAATAAAGAACAAAATCAAATTGTATCAGAGTTTCAGATGATTGAATTAATCGAGGAGATCAGCTGTTTCATAGTCCATGGGGTCGGTCTGCTCGTTTGTGGTGTTCTCATCATCAAGGAGGTCGTCACCTTCCAGGTTAGCAGCATCGACTGGCTGAGTCATGTTGGCTTCAGCAGGAGCTTTTCCGTACTTCTGGTATAGATCGCAGTGGATCTTGGGGGTGCGACATTGCTTTGTTGGGTGGTTGAACATCCCACATCTGGTACAAGCAGAGTGATCGGGGTTGGTGTGGCGGGTCGGCTTGGTGATGCCTCGACCACGACCAGGACCATAATTGAGGTTAGGTCGGTTGCCACGACCATGTCCGCGTCCACGTCTTCCACGTCCATGTCCTCGGCCATTACCACGTCCATTACCACGTCCACGGCGGTGATCTGAGGATCTATCGGGTTGAACATGGTAGGACTCTTGACGAGAAGCTGGGACAGGAGCCGATCCCGGGGGCCTCATAGCGCTGTTCCTCATAAGCAGCTGGTTATTCTTCTCAGCGAGGAGAAGACAGGACAACAAGTCTTCGTACAATGTGTGTTTCATTGCACGGTATTGTTGTTGGAGCACAACATTCTCTGTGCTGAATGTGGATAATGTTTTCTCGAGGAGATCATTATCTGTCACATCCTCGCCACAGAGTTT